TGGGACACTGCCACAGCATGGCGTGACAAGTGGTGCATCGGTGCGCGCCCAGGATCTGAACACAGGCCGCCAGCAGCAGAGCAAAAACACTTAACCGCTATGCCACGGGGTGGCCCCTCCATGGATAGATTGTGCCTTTTTAAAAAATTCATTTTTAAAAGCTGATTGGCAATCCCTGATGTTCCCAAACTTTTTCTAAGCAATTCGAATCACCTTCTTTTTTTTTTTTTAAAAAGACTCTTTAATAATAGTCTCAAGTAACAATGTTATTAATAATACATCTTTTTTTTTTTTTTTTGGTGAGGAGGATTAGCCCTGAGCTAACATCTGTTGCCAATCCTCCTCTTTTTGCTGAGGAAGATTGGCCCTAGGCTAACATCCGTGCCCATCTTCTTCTACTTTATACGTGGGATGCCTGCCACAGCATGGCTTGACAAGTGGTGCATTGGTGTGCACCTGGGATCCGAATCTGCGAACCCAACCACTATGCCACCAGTCTGGCCCCTTGAATCACCTTCTTTCAACTTTCTTTGAGGTGCCTACACAAAATGACCTGGATGTCACTTGTTAAAAGATAAACTGAGGCATATTAAAAATTTTAAGAGTTTATTTGACCAAAAATCATTTGGAATTAGGCAGCTCCAAATCAGAAGTGGTTAGGAATGCTCCACCAACAGAAGCTAGGGGAAAGACTTTGATAGAGAAAAGGCGGAAGCAAAGCAAGGAGATTATTTGATTGGCTGTAGCTTAAGCATTTGCCCTGTTTGGAAGAGTCTAGTTGGCTGTTTCTGATTGGCTGTCCCTAGATTTCCATTTCTTAACCTTGAGGTATTTATAGGCTTAGGTTTTGATTTGCTTAGGCCTGGAAGGCATTAGAACCACCTCACTCCAATGGCCTCCTTGTTTAATTTAACACAGCATAGACCAGTGTTTTGCTATACAGTTAACCCCAGCACAAAACTGGCTTATCCACTCTGGTTTATTTATGGCAAAATTTAAATCACAGACCTACCGCAGTTTCAAACCACTTTCCTCCAGCCTTCTGTTAATGTGTGTTCAGGAAATATTAACCTAAATAAAATGTAGTTCGTATGAAAAATCTGTTCTCTAAAATTATACAATGTGATGCCTGATTTTTAGATCCTTTAAGAAGAGGCAGTAGGGCACGGTGATAAACAGCAGAGGCCCTGACGTTAGACCATCTAGGTGAAGTCCCAGCGACTGCGTTCCCAGCTCTGAGACTTTAGAAGAGTTATTTGACCCCTCTCTGCTTTGTTTTTCTGATGTAAAATGGGGGTAATAATAAATAGCTACTTATCTAGAGTTGAGAGGAAGTAAATGAGCCAGTTATTGCCCAGTAGATAATAGATGACCCTCAGTAAATGTCATTTTCATCATTATTAGTTTTTAAGTTTGTTTCCCTCTGCTCTCTTCCATTTGCACAGTTAAAGCCATTTTCTTCTTCTTTTATTTTTTTAAAAAGTACCTATTCTGACTACAGAATTAATACACATTAGTAAGATTCAGAGAATACATAAAAAAGTAAAAAAGGAAATAGAAATTGCCCATTAATCCCAGGTCCAAGAGATGTAGCCACTTTGAAAATGACTCTCAAGAAATCTATTTGCTAGCATTTCTAAGAAATGCCTGAAATTTCTATTATTAGATTTTATGGAAAGAAAAATCTCATATGTGCCAAGGTGCTATTTCTCTTCCCTAGACTGCCTTAGTCTGAATTTGTACATGAGTAGATGGATTTTTAGTCACCAAGTATAATTTTTTTTTGCCAAGAGAAATTAAACAATGAATTATCCTCAGTATCCAGTCTTTTCTCCTCTGACACAGCCAAAGAGGAATCCACCATCATTATACTTTTCCCATCCCCGTGCCTTAGCGTCCTCATTTGAGGAACAAAGACAGCGAGAACTTGACAGCACTCCTGGTCCGTGTCTTTCACACGGGGACACTAAAGCCCTGGGTGAACATGTGACACGCTGAAGGTCCCCCAGGGGAGCTGGAATTAGAAGCTAGATCACTTATTTGGCGTCCAGGCCGTGCACTTCCCACCACACTCTACAGCTGTGCACGGCTGTCATGAGACAATCTGCCCTCTGCATGTCTG